AAGATTATTCCTCCTTTGAATAATAGAAAGTGTATCACTTCTATTTTTCGTCATTTTATTTTTTCATCTACCTTATCAAAAAGACCGGTGATGTTTGGGCACAGATCTATGGTATTGTATAGTTTTCCTTCTTTTTCTGTTTTTTTGTTTCACGACAAAAGTGTTCGAGTCAACATATGTGCACTTCGATTAATCATCTCCTTGATTTGATCAAAAGCAAATTATCCGAGTTAGGATAAGGGTATTTATGGAGAATAAATCTACCGGAGCCTAGTTTTAAGGGATTGTCAAAATTCAAATTTAGAACGTCTAAATTTATAATTAATTTATTATTATCACTTGAACTATCTCTTAAGATTTTATATAATGGTTTATTATTTCAAGCATTTTCAAAGTTACACAAATAACTTTGGGTTCTTTTAGCTAGTACTATTCATTGTACACGTGCGTTGCACGTGAATTTTTTTAAGAGAATTTGATCTTGAGCTTCTAGAGTTGAACATTTGGATAATAATTTTTTGTAAATAATACTAAAAGTTAGGCCTATAATTATCTACCCATTTCAAGAATTCGTTTTAGTTAAGATAGTCTTAGTTCATAAATTAACAGTTTGGAAATTAAAACATGAAGGACCTATATCAAACATAAACATTTGAATCGGTCGATCACCCATGTTGGTATACATACTCAATTATGATCAGTCATATCCCAAGTCTTTAACTCTAAAAAAATTCTGCCAAAAACAAACTTGTTGCAGCCCATAAACAAGCACACAAAGAATGAGCACAAAATATATTCCAAGAGACGGTGTTGCATCAATAGAAATAATGACATATAATCTCGGTAGTAGTTCAAAATCTTCATGACACATGAATATTTGACAATCATTTATATGATAAAAGGTCTAAGTTATCGATGACAGACGCTTAAGCCAAACCTCTAATGGAATAGCAAATAAAAGCCTAACTATCACATGTAATTCAGGAAAACATGCATAGAGTGACTCATCACAAACAATGATTTGCTTAACTCATGCCACATCATTAAATAAAGTTTTAACAAATATTAAAAAAAAAACCAGTAACATGAGTTATATATTTTTATTATATATGTACTTTTGATGTCAAATTACAAAAAAGTGACACCAACACGATGCTAATAGCTTGACTAAAAAAAATGAACGCTCAGGGTTGGATGTTTAGTAGAAGCCCAAAAATCATGTAATCAATATTTCAAGCCATGTGGTATATTATTACTTTGAGTTTGGGGCCTTATGTGGCTAATTACAAATGTCTAACATTAATGCTTGTTGTAAGCAACTGGTTTTCCACATTTTAAAATGGTTACTGTCCAAGAATGCAACTAAAAACAATAGAAAAGAAAGTCGACATAGATATATGACCAATTTGAGGGATTCATTTTAAGCATAAGGCATCTACATATAGAAATTTGAACAAAGGTCATAATCTAAATGATCAAAGTGTTTTGTCATAACTTGACCTTATAAATACGTTTGGAAAAGAATTGTGATTGATGGAGGTGATTAAAAACATGACGATAATTCATATATAAGAATCTGACTTTCAACTGTTTCGTTGCGTGTCTATGTTTTGATGGTGAACCAAAAAAATATAGATTCATCATACCTCCAAACAAAAAAAGATGGTGGATGGAGGTAAACAAAAATTAGAGTAGACAAATATTTAGTAGTTACAATTTCAAATAATCCACGAGCATAGTGCATATGGGCATGTGGAGGATATCTACATATGAAATCATTTTAGATGCACAACCCACAGTCAAAAAAATTTTTTCTGAAATTTGATCCATCGTCAAATATTTACAAAAGCAATCCCTGTAATTGGCAAATGCCCACATGAGAATTCCCAAAAAACTCAACTACATATTGGAGAAATAGAACAGTGAAAATTAAAACCTCAAAATTGTCCATTCATGAATAGAAATGCACCACCCAAAATTATCACTGACCAATTGCTTTAATGAGCTCCTGAACTACTCTTTAGAAAATTGAACTGAACATACCCAACCTTGCTAGAGCCGAAAGCAGAATAACATCCAAAGTGTCAAAAATTGACAAAATGATCTTCTTAAACAAGTTCAGATAATGATCACAAAAGTCCAAGAAATGTGTTGAAACTAAATTCCATCATGGAATGTTGTTGAGGACGTTTTTAGTAGTGTACAATTATCATCAAAGCTCTAAAATGATATTTTTCTATGTTTGTTGTTTGTTACCTTCCTCATTGTATACGTGCCAATTGTGATTTATGGTCTTTTAGGTAGCCCAACTGACAGACGATGAGGTAGAAAAGTTAGAGCCCATTAATAGGATATTGTAATTGCAGTTAGAGTTTTTAGTCTAAGAATGTGTAAGGTCAAAAAAGGGATACAAATTAGTTTACGTTCAAGGGTGAAAATGACTTAATAGAATGGTTAAGGGTGAACTTGGAAAGGATAACAGTTGAACTGGAGTTGTGTGTGTGTGTGTGAGAGAGAGAGAGAGAGAGAGAGAAGTGAGAAAAAGATAGAGGGACTCTTGAAGGGTGAAGTAACATACAATGCATTTAAGTAGCAAAAAATATTTTTTTTAGGTAAGAATACACTAAGGCATCAGTGAGTGAAATGATAAGAATGATTTATTGAAGGACAAATAAGAAAATCAAAAATTTTTCTTTTTAAGTCACTTTTAGAATTACTATAGATTTCTTATTAACCCATGTGTGGTTTGAGTCGTGTTTGAATATAGGTTATACTTGGTCATTATTTTGATTTAGATACATATTTTATTTGTTGTGCAACTAGCCACTTGGATTGTGAAAAAAGATGATTATTTAAAATGTAGACTAGTTATTGTTTGATAAAAGTAAAACTTAATTGTTAAAAAAAAATTTAATTTGTAATTATTTGGTATTCATTAAAATTTAAGTACTGAATCAAACTTTTTGACAAATGCAAGAAGCTGAAGTATAAAAATTATTATTATTATTATTATTTTAATTTTATTCATTTTCTTTTACAATCGCACCACAATTATCTTATTCCTATCACCAATATACTACAATTACCACCACTATGTTACACACATCATTGTCATTAATGCTACCACCCCACAATCCTTAGGAGTAGTTTAGTGGTTAAGTTCAGAATTTTTAAAAATTCAAAAGTTTCAGATTTAATCCTTTTTCACACCCCCAAGTGCTAGTCACCCTTGTCTTATTAGAAACATACTCAAACCCAGCTCAAGCATGATAATCGACCACTAAATTTAAAAATTAGTCAACACAAATATAAACACTTTACAACAACAACAACAACAACAAAAATGTCACCATCTCACCGTCTCCTTCTCCACCAACCCACCATCGTCTCATTGGTATTTTTTATTACTGGGTTTCTCCATGTTTTTATCCTTAACATACAAGGGGATGTACCTTCTAATCCTACCTAATTTTGATGAAAGTGCATGTGGATAAAATTTCCAAAATGAACAACTAGAAAGACCAAGATCTAATTGTGTTCTTTTCTTCAACCCCTATTTTGTTATTTTTGGAAAGTTCTTCTCTTGTGGACTCCAAAATAGAATTTTTACTACAGCTTCAAAGTTGACCAATTAGCCTAACGGATCTAAAAGCAAACATATTACCATAATCTGACACCCCCAAACCCTAACCGCCATGCAATTTGTTCTTTGACCTACTCTTTAGACCAACTCCACACACACACACACAGTCAAATTTCTAGCCGTTAGAACCCTTCTAAAGTCTCCTTCCCTCTTTTTAAAATAGCCATCTCTCTCTCTCTCTCTCTCTCTTCATGCAGACCCTTTTGAAACAGTCTCCAGCCTCACCACAAAGACCAGTAATTACACAATGGCAACCTGCATGTTAAGATCAACAGATATGAATGACAACATCCCAGACCCTTTAACTTCATTTTCACTTTCTTCTGAAAACCAAACAGGGTCTAAAATGGATTCAGCCGTTTCTTGTTCTTTGAAGCGAAAGAGACCCCCCAAGATTGAGATCCCAAAGGTATTGCGTGATATTGGTATCGACACGAAGGTCACATCCATAGACTGTGCCAGTCAAGAAGAGGCCTTCTGTTTCAGTGGGTTTGGAGTCGGGGTTTCCACCGTTAAAGGCAAGAAAAAATTCATGGAAGATAACCACAAGATTGTTTCTTTCCCCAATGGCAGCAAGGTACCGTAACTGCCTGTTGAATTAATGTTTTCCACTTTTTTTTTTTTTTGGAAAAATGGTATGCTGAGCCAAATGAATGTCTAATTGAGAATCGTTGAATTGTTTGGAATGTAGGGGTTTTTTGGGGTTTATGATGGGCATGGGGGTTCCAAGGCCGCGGCGTATGTGGCAGAGAATTTGCACACAAACATTTTTGAAATTTTGAAGAATTGTTCAGGGAATACAGAGAAGGAAGAAGCCGTTAAGCAGGGTACTTAAAAACAGACCAGGAATTCTTGAAACAGGTAATGGCAATTTGGGTTCTTTCTGTTGATGATTACCTTTTTGGACTTGGTCTATGCTCAATATATATATGGACATGAAACTTTCCACCAAGATTAGAATATTAGTTAATATGACTAGTATGATCTAACTTCTTTTGTTAGTTTTGATTGAAAACTATACGCATTGTAAATGATCGCGCTGTTTGGGAATCAGGTTCTTAACTAACAACAGCTGCAGAATTTATCATTAGTAGTCAGAGAATGATATATTAACACTAGGATTATAATTCGCCGTGTCAGCATCGTTCAGAAACTTTATTGCTCAACTCAAACTGGAATTGGGCACCATTGTGGACGCTCTGAAGGTCTCGAGTTATATAGCAGTTAGGGGCTGAACATTCAAAAAAATTGTCCTTTCATTTTTCTAGAAATTGCAAGCAGCCATTCTTGAGGATAGATAACATAATGGAAAAAGAAATAGATAAGTTATTGTGTCAATCTGATTAGTAAGATCACCAGAACTTTTATTTTGTAGAGAAATGCATGTTCATTTAGCTGCCTAATTAACGGAGAAAGTCATGTTTATATTGGTCCCTTCCTTCTATGTTTTACTGTTTTCATATGTTCCTTTATAAAATTTGTCTTTTCATATTTGTTGATCTTAAGGTATGATGTTTCTGGTCAAACCTAGCTTTCTATATTTATCTTGTCAGGGTAGTGAATCTAATGAAATGTTATAAGATTCCTTTGTAACCTTGTTAGGCCTCAGTTCATGTTTTATGTGGAAATGATGATTTAATTAGTGGGAATAACTGCAGGGCATAGGCAGTGGTGCTTGCTGTGTCACAGCCTTGATTGAAGGAGAAGAGATGGCCATTTCAAACTTGGGAGATTGCAGGGCAGTTCTCTGTAGAAGTGGGGTGGCAGAAGCCCTTACAGTAGATCACAGAGCAGGTCAGGACGACGAACGGAGTAGGATAGAGAATATGGTACGTATGGTAGTATTGGAAAGCATGTTAGTGACAGGGTCAGCTGATAGTGATTCTAATGGCTTCTTTTCATGTTATGATGCAGGGAGGATATGTAGAGATTCATAGGGAGCTTGGAGAGTTCATGGGGTACTTTCTGTCTCTAGAAGCATTGGAGATGCTCATTTGAAGGATTGGGTACTGGCTGAGCCTGATACTAAGATCCTAAATTTGACTCCAGACATGGAATATCTTCTCCTAGCTTCTGATGGGTTGTGGGAGGAGGTGAGAATGAAAACCACACACATACATTGCTACATGTTGATCATTCAGAAATCATCATTTTTAACATAATATTCTTTCTCCATGCTCCTATCAATGTTTAGCTGATTTGCTTGGTTATATAAGATATCTGAATAACATGAATCTGTCAAACACTTCTGGGACTTGTGCAAACGGAGCTTGACACAAACTTAGTTTAATGTAGCTATCTCCATTTTATGATATCAGGGAAGCTTGTTTGCTTGGAGCTTTGTTTATATGCTCCACTTTAAGCATTTGATGTGATTGAGTCTGGTTTTTGATGTGCTTGGCTTTTTGCGTAGGTTGGAAATCAAGAAGCTGTTGATATTGTAATGGGGACATGTTCAGTTGACAAAAAGCCAGAACCTACAGGAGACCCTGAGAAAGAGAATGACAATGAATTTGGCTGCATAAGTATGAGTGCTTCGCCAAAGTTACGAAGAGTAATGTTAGTCAAGCGAAAGAGAAAGATGGTTCACTCCCCTAATTATAGGAAGACAGGAAATGAAGATGATTTTGGCAATGAAAACGAAAGTCCTCCCTCCAACTAAGGCTCGAAGGGTTTCACTGGTAAGCCAGATGAAGGTGCACCCTCAGTCTCCAAATCAAGAGAACAGTAGCTATAAGAAGAGACCAGCTCCCGGTCGACTTGTTGCTGCTTGCAAGGAGCTTGTAAACCTTGCTGTGGCTAGGGGCAGTTTGGATGACGTCACTGTCATGATAATCGATCTAAACCAATTCAAAAACCATTGTATAGCACCGATGGTTGTACAACATCACAAAGATGAGGTTTAATATTTGACATCTAGGAGACACAACAATAGCTTAAACTTTTCAGATCCTTTTCAAAAGCCAATGTACAAAACATAATCTCCCTTTCTTTTTGGTCAGTTTTATTTACACAACATCACTGCCATGACCACTCTTCTGCAACTGGCTCGTTTGTGTTTCACTGGACCACCATTCTGTCAAACCAATGTAGAGTTCTATTAACTTTCTATTGTGACTGTTGTTACCACTCTCCTGTTTTCAATAGTGGGTATGGAACTCTATTGGATTCCTCCCCTCCCC